AAAGAAAAGAAAGAAAGAAAGAAGATGAAGAAGAAAGGAGGAGGAAGGCGGCGGCAGGGGTGGCTGAGGGTTGTCGGTGGCTGGCTGGAGGTGCAGAGATGGTGAGGGAAGGGGTGAGGCATGCGCTGCATATAGAGGGAGAAGGTTTCTAGATGGTTTGGGTCGAACCGGTTCGATTCAATTCGATTCGGCCCAAATCTTTGGTTTTCAATTGGTTTTTGAATTTTTCAATCGATTTTCGGTTCGGTTTATTACAGTATTCGCACTAAAATATTAATATTAATTTCCAAGCTGTCGGTTCATTAAATTTAATTGGATAATGTTTGAAAATAAAAATTCAGGGTATTACATTGAAAATAAAAAATTCAGGGTAATACATTTCAGGAATAATAATTTTTTATTATTTTACTAGTTCAACAATAAAATAATAATATTTTTACTATTTAAAACTCAATAATAATTATCTATTATAAATTATATTTTATAACTTTTTTTTTCTAAATGAACTCAAATTAAAAAATTTCAAAGATAAAAATATTAATAAAAAATTAATGTTAATTTTATTTATATAAATTTGCCCATTTTCATTTAATAAAAATTAATGTTAATTTTATTTATATAAATTGCCCATTTTCATTTGAGAAATATTATATATATATATATAATACTAATTTTGACTTTTACTAAATGGTTTAGCTGTTCATATCTTCAATGACCCGAATTATTAATTTTAAAACTAAACAATTTAATTAAATTCTAAATTCCATGTAAATACCATCCCTTCAAATCGAAGTCATATCATATAGTCATAATATATATCATTAGATAAAATTAAAATAAAAGTTTTACAATCAAAATATTTTATGAGTTTAACTACTCGCTTTTAAATTTTTATTTAAAATCCATTGTTTAAATTTTAAGTTAATTTAAAAATAAGTAATAGTATTTAACAAAAGTATTCAAGTAAATTTTAAACAGCTTAAATATTTATGTAGCAATAGTAACTGTTTTAGTATTCTAGTAGTTTAGTTTACTAATAATCAACTAAAATGCTAACGGAAGTAACACTAATATATAAATTAAGTGCTGAACAATATAAAAAATAAAGATAACGTTTTGATTAGTACTTTAAATATTGTTGCCAAATATAATTAATTATTTTATTAATATTTATTTAAAGATAGCTTGATTTATCATGATTATTAAAAAGGATAGTATTAATTAAATACAAAATATAAAAATAATTTAATTAATTACATCATACAACACACTAAAATATAGCTTAATGGTAAATGTACTTATAATGTAATAAACCTCGAGCAAATGAATCCAACACATTAGATGTAATTTTAAAAACTTTCACATTTTCTTCTTTTATTATTATTTTTTATTTTTTTATTGAACCTTATTTTTCTTTTATTTCAATGCTCGCTCACCTGATAAATGATAAAATGAACTTATTCCTCGTCTTATTATTACAATTCTTAAAATATTAACTAAATTATAAAGCGAAGTAATTTTCTTTTGTGTTATAATATTTTTATCTTACGCCTAATTTAATCGAGAATAACTTAACTTGGGAACTTGAAGTTGAAGCGAGAAATACCCATTTGTTTGGTTCCCAAAAATATAAAAATTTTGAAAACTTGAAACTCTTACTTTCTGGATTATATGGAAAGTAAGTTACCCCTCGCCCCGGGAAATATACTTCTTGACTTTTAGAAATTAGAAAAATTCAATTTTACCCTTGCTTTTAACGTGCCTTACTTTTAATGCTATCAGTTTTTCTCCTTTCTTTATCATTTATCTTTTCCAAGTCCCAACAACACTATTTTCTTTATTAATATATATATAAAAAAATAGTATATTGAATACAAAATGAGTTGAACGGTGGGAAATATATATAAAAAAATGTGCTTCAAAGGTGTTTTCAATGAATCAACTAATACACTCAAATTCATTAGAGGGTTATTATTGACATTTTACATGTAAAATTTTATTAATATATCTTTATTTCTTTGGAAGTCAATAGTTCAATTAAACATAATCACTCTATAATTCTCAGGAAGTTATTTCCCTGAAAATTAAACTTTCCGGAAAAATAGGTGGACTTAAATCAAATGAGGCCTTAATGTCCACTCGGATTTGAGGGATAGACACAACGGATTCTAATAAGAATCCATTTTCTGAATGATAATTTCATTCATGAAAAATAAAGAGTAGAAGTCTAAATATTAAACAAATTAACAAAAATCTACATCTCCCCAAACCAAAAAAAAAAAAAAAAAAAAAAAAAAAATAACATCTCCCCAAACCAAAAAAAAAAAAAAAAAAAATAAAAAAATCTCGAAAAAAAAAAAAAAAAAAAAAAAAAAAAAAATCTCGAAGCACCATAAACTTTCCTAAATCATATCTATTGCAAGACAAAACAACAAAATAAGAAATAATAGAATGAATAAGCAATTCTCAAGAAATTAAACTCAAAATAATAACGATAATAACAAATAGCTAGACCATGGCCATGGATTGAACTTCTTGTGCCATAAAAGTAGAAACCTTGTTCTTAGGCAGTGAATTAGAAGAAGATAATAATGAAGAATTAGAAACAGAAGAAGATTTCTTGGAAGAAAATTTATGAAAGACATTGAAAAAGGCTGCACCAGCAAAAAGGAAACAAAAGCAAGCAACAGGAATGCCAACAACTGTAGCTATGGCTATGAAGGTAGTTCCTGGACTGTCTTCTTCGTTTATGTACTTTATATCCATACTCACTGCTATAACTATAAATCCTCCTGTACATGCTGCTTGAAGGCCCATGAATACCCAGAAAATTGTTGACCCAAATAGCTTATCTATGCAATTTTTACTATCCATAACAATATTCTGAGAAAAGAAAAGAAAAGAAAACAAGGGAAAATAATGATCAACGAAAGGGATAAGGTGGAGTTACATGAGTACATATTCTCTGGAACTAACGAATGGAATTTGTTTTTTTCTTTTTGAAATTTAGGTTAATGATAAAAGTTTTGCCCAAAGTTTTTGCATTTTATAAATTGTGCCTTGTACTTTTTTTTACTAGTTATAATCCCAAATTTGAAAATATAATATTAATTGTACCCCTAATCAAGATTAAAAAAAAATATTGTTATATTAGTTAGAAGGGTGAGTATCAAATTCGCATTTGAAATTAACACATCATATGGCCAATTTAGTTTAAAATTTTAATTGGATTCTATAACTTCGTAAAATGGATTAATTGAGTTTGATTAATTATAATTTATTAAATTTTTATAATTGAAAAATCCAGTTAATTCCATTTATAATTTAGAAGGTAAATTAATAATTAGATTTATATTATATAGTTCAAAAGTCAATTTGACATTTTAGCACCTTTTCTATTTAGTTATTAATTATTAATTAATTAAAATAGAATACGTAAAATACACATAATTAACAAACCTGACATTCTTTCACAAAACTATTAAATTTTATAAGGCCATGATAATCCATATAATCTACGATGTGCACATTTTTCATAACCAATATGGGATTCTCGAAGCACTATCCTGCTCATGCCCCCCTCCAGTGACCATGCATAAAAGACTCGTACATTATACAAGTTTAATCTTTATTATTATTATTATTATTATTATTATTATTATGAGTTAAAAAAAAAAAAAAAAAAAAAAAAAGTTTAATCTTTATTATATTATTATTTATTATTATTATTATTATGAGTTTAAAAAAAAAAAAAAAAAAAAAAAACATAGAAAAAAAAAAAAAAAAAAAAAAAACATAGAGAGCACATATACGGATTAGAGACAGGATAGGGGCTCTTTCACAAAACTATGACAACTTTATAAAAACATGCTAATTTATATAATATACACATGCAAACTTTCCAAAATCAATATAAAATGACATTTATTGTCTTTTTCCATTTTAACTTAGGGTATAATTGATACAAAAGTTTTAAATTTGGGGTATAATTTAAAAGGAAATTGGGTATTTAATAGAAGAAAAGTAAACATGTTATTTGTTTGAATTGGTCGTGAGAAATTTATAGATAGACTTTGTGCTATTGACTATTGACTATGGAGTCCTCCTGCTAATAAGACATTGGAGAGTCTACATATTGGATGAAACAGCAAGAAAGACAAATGGACGGTAGAAAAAAGTTTATAGAGAGCCGCCATGGACAGTTGCCGAATTAGAACCTTTTTTTAATAAAAATGTAAAGCAAAATGAGTTGGCCTGCAATGCATATTCCTTTCTACACTTCATTCTCATGTAAGCTTTTATTTTGGAACAGAAAAATACAAATAACATATATATATATATATATATATAGAACATATATATATATTATATATATTATATTATTTTAATTTTCTGGATGGTATTGCTCTTACGACTATATATATATATATATATATTTTAATTTTCTGGATGGTTACTGACTATTATAATTTTAAGGGGAAGTCAAGTTTCATGACTTGTGTGCAATTACCTTAAGATGTACCTATGGGGTGGCCGGTTTCAGCTCGATGAACCGGCAGTTCAGGACCTAATTGGAGTAAGTTTCGATTCAGCTATTTTTGAGTTCTACCTGATTTTGGCAAAAGGCCTTCAATTCAATCAATAGTTTCAGGTCAATTCAAGTTTTAGCACCTTTGGGAGAGAATTGAAACTTAAACAGGGTTCAATTTCTGATTTGAGTTTTGCTCTTCCCAATTTGATTTCGGTTAAACCGGAGAAATGGCCAGACCTAAGTGTACCAACCAATCAATTCTATTTCAATGCATAATTTGACTTACGCATCTACTAAAATGAAATTTCTTCTCCGTAGGACTTAATTATGCACCCCCAAACTCAATTTCTCAATTAGGTCAGCTGAACAAATTCTTGGGGCTGAATAATAATAGTTAAGAATGTTAATAGAATCTCCAATAGATTAAGAAACAATAAAAATTTACTAACAAAAAGGAAAGCAGTTTAAATAATTTTAAATCAATAAATTTAATTTTATTAAACTCAACTATGAACATAATTTAAATTTCAGTGTGTCCCATACATTTGCAAACAAGAAGTTTTTGAGTTGCTGATATTCATTCTGTTGCTCCATTTCTTACTGTTAACTTCATCGCGCCCAGGCACAAAACTAATACCAAAGGCAGTTTATATGAAAAATAATATAGTATACTGTAAAGCAATGTACATCCTGAGGGCAGAGCAGATCAAAGGCAAGAAGTTGCAACATTCTTCCAAGCTATACAGAAAGCATTGTAACTATACCAGGTAAGAACGAGTAAAAACTGCAAAAATACTGCTTGCTTACAATTATGGGCAGAGCAGATCATTAGGCCAATAGTTCAATCATTAATGCAGAAGAAATTTAGGAGTTCAAAACTTTGACATCTCCTCTCCCTTCAACTGGATCGACAGCAACTACTAAAAATTGACCAGAACAGAAAGAAGGAATGTAGCACACAGTATCAGGGAAGTAGATTGATATCTAAATACAAAATGGTAAAAGGATGCTAACATTGAGAAGTTGCAAGAGAAAGTGGAAAAAGGAAATTTAGAAAAAAAAAAAAAATGAAAAATGGCAATAAGAAAAGAAGAAGCTGAAAATGGCATGAACGAGGGGAAGGCATGTGTAGTACAGATTCATTCCTTCGTAATTTATACATTTCATTAGTAAAATCAAGAAACTTTCATCTGAACCTCATACAGAATCATATGTAACACTCTCATAGTTATTATAGATAATCTCATCTTGATTACACACAAAAAAATAAAATAAAGTAAAAAGAGAGAAGGGACTTATTAGCCTTTCAATGGTTTATCATTTCTAGCATGAACAGATTTACAATTTCTCTCACAAACAATTGCAGTTAGAATTAAAAAAAAAAAAATGCAAATGAAAAAAATACGTTTAAATTGAAGACTTATCTATGTGTATATGTGCTGTTGAATCATCGATTAGCCATGAAATTTTACTCTATGGTATTCCACAAATTACTTACAGAAGAGATAATACACGGCGCCTCCAAATGGATGATTTTCTCCTGTTTAGGAGTTGTGGTGTGACATTCAGAAGTCCGAACATCTCCTTCGAAGTTTTCTCTTGCCCTTCAAAACCAACCAGTTTGGCTACAACAGCAGCGCTCTCGGTTATATGGTCCATGTCTGTTGTCTTAGTCCATAGTTGATGAACCAATTGCACCCTTCTATTGTTTGAACTCAATGAAATACCCCATTTCAGAAAAAGGTTCTCCCTCTCTTCTTTGGAGAGGCTCTTCTGCATCTGTCTACATAGCATCTGTCTCTCTTGATCCAAGGCCCTCTTGCTGTTCACAAAGGAAAATATATCATCTTAATGCAAAAGTACAGATACCTATAAGCTTATCTACATACAAGTTATGTCACTCAGAGGTACATGGACTTGCAAAATATTCGAGATCAACCAGGTTCTAGAAGAGTCAAGCTTGAACTCATAGTGAGTGGAGCTAAGTACAAGTACATAATTAACTCAAGTAGATTTCAAGTCTAATCAGGTTTTTACTATATATGTGATAATTAAATAATAATAATATACGAAATCAAGCTCGACCTCGCTTGAGCTCACTCAGGTTTATTTGAGCTATTACTTAATATGAACTATTACTTAATAATAATAGTATGTTTATTTAAAGTTTCAATGTAATTGAGCTGAGACGAGTCGAAGTTGACAATTTTCCATTGAACTCAGGCTCAAATTTAAATAAATATACAAATCAAGTTCGAGTCCCAAGTATTCTAATTGATTGAAGCTCCAGTAGCACTCTATATTTATTTGACTTGACTTGATTACTTTATATGTACTACAACCCAAATGTGCAAGTAATGTACCTTGAAGCAAGACTCACGATTCTTCCATCAACAATAGTTTCATCACCTCGAGAAAATGTGTCCTTGAGGAAGGACAGCTTCCTGAGCTCAACCTCCATGTAGAAAGAATCTGTGGGATCACCTTTATACAGCAGGAAGAAGTAGGTCCTGTGAACCAGTGAGACACTGCAATCATGCCAAAGTTCAATAATCTGCCCTTGGAGCCTCTTAAATTCTGAACGCCACTTCAGATCACTATCTAATTCATCTTGAATTGGATCCAGCCCAACATCTTTTACATTCTTTTTAGATCCAACGGACTTTGATTTTGTTTCTTGGTCCTATCAATCATGACAACCAACATAAAAGGAATCAGTGGTTAGCTTCTCAATCAAATCTAATTTTGCTTCACCATCCAAGTTAATGAAAGGGGAAATGTAGATGAGCAGTATTTTTCCTTATTACTGGATTTGACCATGGCAATTATCTCAGGATATATAACCAAAATTTATGGCCTCAGACTATTCCAATCATATCTATCAATAGGTCTGTAATTAACCCATAAATAATGTGAAAAGATCATAATATATTTCATAAATTAGAAAAATAAATCATGACGAAAGGCAAAATGCTCACCGAATGATCATCTGAGGACTTAATTCCCGCATCTGAGTTGCTGACACTGGTAGTACTCTTCCAATCAATAGAAGTTACAATACTCTGCAATTGATAGTCATCAACAGCAAGGCTACCAACAGAAGCCGATGAGTCATTTCTTGAAAATTCTCGAACATCAACACCATGTTTCAATGCAGAATATTTCCTCTGAGAATTCTCAGTTCTCGCGGTAAAATCATTCCCAAACGCCATTGATGTTATGCCCTCATTGCTTTCCATCCTCTCTAAGAAATACGTAGGCATGCTCATTAATCTTGCTCTACAACTTCTACTCCTGACCATTTTCAAGCTTCTTGACCTAAACATGCCTTCATCAGGCAGCGATCGAGATGGTTTTTCAGGGGAGGGTACTATAGAATCAGAATCGAAGTCATTCAACTCTTTCTGTTCCTTAGGAGATGGTTTTTCAGGGGAGGGTACTATAGAATCAGAATCCAAGCCATTCAACTCTTTCTGTTCCTTAGGAGATGGTTTTTCAGGGGAGGATACTATAAAATCAGAATCCAAGCCATTCAACTCTTTCTGTTCCTTAATTGAGGGTGACTCTAATTCCTGAATTTCTGTAACTTCATTCTTAGCCTCTGTCAATCCTGGGGTGCCTGTGTTTACATTAGGAGATGAAATATTAGAGTCTGCATATCTCTGTGGTCCAGTCTCTAACATTTCTGAATTTGCATAACCATTTGTGCTAAACTCTCCAACTGTAATGCATTGGATTTCCTTGCAAGGATTGTCTAAATTTTCCAGAGCATGGTCTTTGCTATCCTTCTTATGCACACCATTTTCAACAAAATTAGCAATAGATGTTGGCAGTTCAGGAGAGGAATTCGCTCGAACATAATCCCCTTCAAAGTCTTCAAGTTGGATAAAGTTCTCATCAGAAATGCTACTATTGTCTCCAACAGAGCACTGAGATTCAACAAAAGACCTGATGCCAATATGTAGGAAGTGAGGCTGCTCTGAAACAGGTGAATATGATACTGAATTTTCAGATTTGAATGAATGACGCACTCGCAATTTAGGGTAATGACGATCTTGATCTGCCTGGACAAGGAACCAGACTTAGAGTAGGTAAAGGGATATGATATTGAATGCTTCAGCAACATAAGATTTTAAGAGGGAGCAAGGTAAAAATATGCATACTGAGATTGTTGAAGATCTATCATCTTCAGCCACTCTTAATAGATTCTCAACCTGCAAATGAGCTAGTACTAATTGCTGATTCAGCTCCAAGACTTCTTTCTTTAGCTGCATGAGGAGATAAAAGCGCAAATTCATGGTTAAACCAAAAAAGAAAGTAGCTGGGTATTGCATACATGAATTCATATCCTGAATTCCTGATGCATATGACATGTAATGTTTGGAATATATTTAAAGCATGAATCATTATTCAAGTGATAAGAAGGACAAAGAAGAGTGCAAACCAAAATTTTTTGGAAATTACCAGAGAATTTCTTTAAGAAAACATGAGACAGAGGAAACCAGACTCATTATGGTAGCTGAACCCCCCTAATTCCACGTATGGGTCAAAGTAGTATGCTTTGAAAAATTCCATTATGCAATATGAGGGAGTCAAAGAGGGCTAGTTATCAGTTTGAATCCATTTAGTCTTGATTTGGTTAATTTCTAGTGCAAGCTAGTCCTTTCTCTGCTCAAGTTAAATTCTAAAGCCTTAACCATAAATTGTGCCAATAATATGGTAAACCATGGGTTAGCCAATTACCCTCCGTGGCATGCTTTCTGGGCGGCCAAGGTTCTTAATCCTAGATTCCTAGATTTGCTTCCTTGCAAATTACCTAGGACACAAAAGAGAACTGTTTGACCAAGTTCCGAGGTTGATGCTCACAGCTATGGTTTTATTCATGGCAGTTATTTACGAAAACTAAAGACATGAACATGATGCAGAGAGAACATGTTCAAAGGAGGTTTCCAGTTCATGCCATTTGCAGATGATGGGAGATATGTTGAGAATATAAATGCAAGAAGAGAACTAAATTTTGAAGCCATGTTCTCATCATAAATAAACATAAGGATGATTGATTACTTATTTACTAATTATGGATAGGCCCAATGTACATGTACGTCTGGCATTCAATTTTCCAGATATGTACCTCTGTTAGTCTATTTCCCTAATGCAAGTGTGCTCTCATGATTTTGAAGATGCAGGCAGATGATACTCAGGAGCAATTAACAGGAGCTTATGATATCACCTTTTCAATCTGAAGGTCTTTTTCTCTCAATAGTGATATGGAATCTGAAATGACAGAATTTGATCCTGTATTTCTCAGCTCACTCTGCAGTCTAGCCAATTCTCTTTGAAGTTTCTTTACCAATGCTTTATCAGATACGACCACATTGACACGTGCATTTGTTGTCACTTCTTTTGCACAGCTTGCAAACAGGAGAGTGTTTCTAGACTGCTCAACGTGACTTCGTGCAGGGCTTATTGTACAGATGATGGCAGTCCTAGCATTGCCTCCTAAGGAGGACTGCAGTATGCGGGTCAGCTTTGAATCTCTAAAAGGAATATGCCCATTCCTTCCTTTGCTGCATTTCCAGCCATAAAGTTAGATAAATTAGCACCAATATGATATTCAGTTTAATTGGAGTTGTGTTCAAACACTAAAGGCAATAAAGAAAACAAAGAAAAAGGAGACATAAAAATTGCAGATTCGATCCAATGATTGCATGAAGAACCTTTGCTTTGAAAAAATAAAAAAAGGCTATTGGAAAGACCTAGCTGCTTCTGTCAGTTGTCTGTATCCTTCATAGTATTCCAACAAAGTTATTTATTTTAGTATGCACATCTTGACTTTTATATGGAATATTGAATTACAATAGTTCATGATATAATGAAGTCACAAGGCAATTGAATCTATGTTTTCCAAGTTATGTAGCACAACATAGTCCATGACCGAGAGTGAACAGATTGCGCCTGGTGAGGAGTGCTCAAACTTTTAAGTGCTTAAATAAATTGTCTATGTATTTTGAGTTTTCACTTGAGATGGTTTTTTGTGACCTCTGTGAATTACTAGTGTCAAAGAAAAGGAATAGGCGGAAGGAAAAGCCTTCATAAAGAATGAAAAATAAGCAACTATAGGAGAACGGGATTTAAAGCCTTTGGTCCATATTCCATGCATCAACGTATCTCCTACTGGTACATCATATTATTGGAATGCATGGTGAGATCATATTTTGCTACGATGTGCATGCGCATCAATGCAATTTATTTTGCCTTCTTTTACTTTTTGAGCAGTTCATGAAGTTGCATAATCTGACAACTTGGGTATTAAAATCCAGAGACACTATTCAGAGAACAATGTAAATGCACAAAACAAATAAGCTGGCATGTGGAAAAAAACCAGACATGTTAAATTGCTTCAAAATGACTATATTTGTCACCCTGTTTTATCCTTAGATATGTTATAAACTAAAGCATTGGTATACAATTTTCTTTCTTTCATCGGTGGATTACAGGAAGATGAGATAGGGTAGTTTCACAGGGCTGCACTAAAAGTGATAAGGTGCCCATCTTGTAAGGTGGTTGTTTTTCTTTTTTGTTTCTCAAATATGAAATAAAGATCACTAATTAAAACTTACTATTTTTCTTATTTAGTGTTTTTAAAACAGAAAAACAGGTATTGACAGCAAAGGAAACCATAGAAATAGGTTTTTTTGGTTGTTTCATCAACTTGTTCTCCAAGATGCAAGCTTTTAGTGTAGGAAAAAAATAAACCAAAAACCAAAAAAAAAAAAAAAGATATCAGACAACGTAATTTGCAACTCCACTTCTGTCAATAGATGTCAAAATTTGAAATTTGACAAGTTTAGAGAGGTAAAAAAAAAAACATGTGTTTAATGGGATCAATTTGGATTCTTATAATCATATTTCTTTAAAATACTAAAAAAATTACTAGTGTTATAAAATCCAGTGCTTCCAACATCATTTCTCAAGTATTATTAAATTTGAGGGTTGAAAAGTAAATTGCAAAAGCAAACCTTAGCTTACGAATAACCGTTCCCAATGTTAGTAAACTGCGATTTATGTGACACCCTTCTTTCAACCTCATTCCAGCTGACAAAGACTGAGATGCACGCTCACTTCCTGCTAGATCAACAAAATTCTGTGGAGACCAATGATCATTACATGCTTCTGTCAGTATTACCAAATGAATCGGTGATTACATGATTTTATGATTCATACCACAGTGGCTGCAAGGCTGCTTGACTTGTCATTGCCTAAGAACTCACGTGCAGAACTTTCAATTGTCTGTCATGCACCCATTATCAGTAAACAACATAGCAAATAATTAACTAGCAGAGTAACCACAAATTTGAAGTGAAATAACCATCAAGTTGTACCAGTCTCAGAATCTGATGAGATCTGGAACTTGTTTCGTTCATGGAAGTCTCCCCTATTTGTCTCTGAGCTGCAGAAATGCACCACGTCATTGTTAAGTATGCAGTCACTAGTCCTCTAGAAAAAATTAGTCAAAGGACATGACTTGCCTTCACAGATAGATAGAAGTTCTATAAAATGATTCCAATCCCTTAGAGTTTCCTCTGTAAGTCTCTCAACAACAGTCCCCCTCTGTTAACATTGATTGTTATTGCGCCGGAAAATGCATGCAGCAGTTCTTCAGCAGAAAAATGAGAGAGAGAGAGAGAGAATTACCTCTGGATCATCTAGAAGTCGAAGAGGAGTTGTATCCACACTAAGGAGGTCCCTGACAGATTCATTGTAAATCTCCATGGCAGAGAACTTCAAAATAAATTCTCTTTCCTTGTGCTGCAGATGGGAAAAGAATTTTTCTTTTTCACCAAATCAAGTCGAAACCAAAGAAAAATAATCAAAAGCTGGATGCATTGATTTGATTACCTTGTTAGCATAGTCATATATATCTGCTACAGTATACTCGGTAATTCCACTCATGGTATATGTCTTTCCACTACTTGTTTGTCCATATGCAAATATACTTGCTGAAAATAATTATCATCCAAATGAAAGACAGAAAAAGTAAGAACAAATGAATTTTTGAGTGACGTTTCTTCCGATAAGAACAATGAAAAACTTGAAGAGGTTGTACTTACAGTTTATACCACTGACAACTGCAAGAGCAACTTCCTTTGCTCCTTCCTCGTATACCTGCCTTGTGGAGCAATCAGGCCTAAATACTCTGTCTAGAACCACCAAATTAACAAAAGAATAGAAAAATACAAGATTAAGTATGGGAAACTATATATCTTCTATGATATCAAGTGCTAAAAACACTCTCTACAAATACATTAAGAACAACATTGACAGCCAAAATACAGCACTTCAGAATGACAGCAGAATAAAAACATTGCTCAAAGCCTAAAAGTGAGTCATAATCAGCATTAGTAGATTTTTTGGGGGGGGGTTTTGGGGGGGGGGAGGGGGGGGGGAGCAGTGATATCCGTTTTTCTCAACATTAAAAACAAATTCGAGGCAAAACATTCATCAAACAGAAGATTTATCTTTATGTCAATAGATTAGCTGTGCAGTGCATGCGATATTGTATGAACCTTGGCAAACTTGCATTAATCCTTTTTCTGTATCAACAGAATTTGCAATTTAGACAACAGTTGAGATGCATAAAAATCCTAATCAATATTTACTTTAATTATGATATAAGTAATATCTAACCAAATGTATAGGACGTTGGGTACATGGACTCTCTGAACACAGAAAGATTATCCTATATATGATTGTACTTTTCATTGATCACTTCCCAATCTGATACATCATTCCTTGCATTTTCCTTCTCATTCAAAGCGTCTCAGCCGAACGGAAACGGAGAATTTTTTCTCCCAGCACCACTTGGCTCCTCCTCCTCAGCTGCTCCATATCTCACTCTATATTATACTACAAGAATGGAATTTATACCATATGTAAAGAAGTTCAATGTATGCTAATGCAGACATAAACTATATCATCTTTGCCTCTTTTTTCAGCCTCCCTTCCCTTTTTTCTTTTAACTTCTTACGTAAGTTAAAATATTAAGGTAGGATTTGTATGGCTTTAAATATATAAAAGAGCTTGCTGACTCGGGGGGAGCATGATATCCAGTTTCTCAACATTAAAAACAAATTCGAGCAAAAACATTCATCAAACAGAAGATTTATCTTTATGTCAATAGATTAGCTGTGCAGTGCATGCGATAACTTGTATCGAACCTTGGCAACTGCATTAATCCTTTTCTATCAACAGAATTTGGCAAATCTTAGACAACATTGAAGATGAAATTAAAATCCTAAATCAATATTTACTTAATTATGATATAAGTAAATATCTTACCAAATGTATAGGCAGTTGGGTACATGGACCTCTCTGAAACAGAAAGATTATTCCTATATATGATTGTATTTTCATTGATACATTCCCAATCTGATACATCATTCCTTGCAGTTTCCTTCTCATTCAAAGGTCTCAGCCGAACGGAAACGAGAATTTTCTCCTCAGCACCACTTGGCTCCTCCTCCTCAGCTGCTCCCATATCTCACCTTCTATATCTACAAGACTGGAATTTATACCATATGTAAAGAAGTCAATGTATGCTAATGCAGACCATAAACTATATCATCTTTGCCTCTTTTCTTCAGCTCCCTCCCTTTTTCTTTTACTTCTTACTAAGTTAAAATATTAAGGTAGGAATTTTGTATGGCTTTAATATATAAAAGAAGCTTGCTGGACTCTTTCATAACATAAGGGCCACATAACCTTAACAACTACAATCATATGCATCAGCAACTAATCATGGGTTAGTGCTAAATTCACCGACACATTTGGTCAGTTCTTTGTCTCAAACAAAAACCCCATTTTTTTTTAATTGCCAAATTAAACACCTGACCAAATGCACGCACCCATTCATAAGCTGTTATTCTTATTTATAGTCAAAGATAGTTGTCATTTAATTAGTGAATTTGGAGTTTTCTTAAATGGTCCCAAGTAACAGACTGTCAAACAACTCCATGATCTTCTCTTGTTTCCTCTACACCCTTAATAGAATATATTTTGCAAATATATAAATATAGAAAGAGAGAATTATTATATAATAATAACAATAACAATAATAATAATAATAATTTTCTTTTTTACCTTGGAGAGTGAGAATTCAGTGTCCCTTTCCAGGAATGTTGGTGGCCGGTGGAAGAATCTTCACTGATTCCATGTGCAGATTATCTGTATCACAACCAGGCACAGACAACTCTGAAAATCACTTGGATTTTCTGCTCCAAAAACTTCGTGTTTTTGGCTGTTTCGACGTCGTTTATGTAACACCTATAACAAACAAAAACACCTCATCTTATCCATCACAGGTTAGCAGAAAAATCTCAAAAGCAAAGACCAGAAAAGAAAATGCGGCCGTTACAAGAACGTAGAAGAAGAAATAAGCGTAAATTGGAGTCAGAAAAGTCACTTTCAAGCCGAAAACAATTAGGAATTCAATTCCAAAACAATGCCTAAGCAGCATTTGATAAAATCAAACTTCCAAAATTTTCCGCGAAAATTCTCCGGATCAAAGGAAAAATATCAAAAAATGAGAAAATGTAGGAATTCTCTGACCTGAAGCAGCTCTGAAATTATTCCAAAAATTGAGAAATGAGGAAACAATTTGAGGAAATTAGAGAAAATAGAGAATGAGAGAAAACCGAAAATCTGTTCTCTCTCTTTCTCTTTTCTCTCATAGGCAAGGCAGGGCTGTGAGGAAAATATAGTATGGGAGGATTATAAATGGAAAATAGGGAGTTGGGTTGGTTAGTTGCTATCGCAGCTGCTGTGTGCTTATTACTAGCCTTTGATTTAAAACTACCGCGCGAAAGGCTTAAGGGTTAATAAGGTAAAGCTATAATTTGAGGTAGCTTTGGGATTTGACAAGTTTAGCCTAATTAAGTAATTATCATGTTTTTTTACCTAATTTGCTTCTCATTCAAGCCTAATTGCATTCATTAAAGTATATTAATTATTTCATTAATCATACTATTAGTTTTAAGTTAGTTCAATTCAATGATAACTTCAATCATCTAAAAAATTGATTAGTTAAAGTACTAAGTCATTGCATGTTGCACCAAAAGAAAAGTAGTTTTTTTTTTTAAAAAAAAATATATTTAATGTATATTTAAGTTTTAATTTCACTAGTTGACTTTCTTTTTTTTTTTTTCAAATTTTCCTACGAGTATCCCGCACGCTATGAGGTAGAGGTGTGCAAAATTAACGATCGAACCCAATTAAAACGAATCAAAAACCGTAGTTCGGTCAGTTATTCAAGGGAGGTTCGGTTTATTGATTTATTCTATTTAAACCGAATTTATTATTTGGTTCGAGTCGATTTCATTAAAAATTTATCAATTGGATTTAAAATCGAATCTACATGGCAAAAATTGATCAAGACCGTACTGATTAATTCGGTTCGAGTTGATCCAATTCAGATGTCAATTTCGGCTCGGTCTATCATCCAAAAACTTCGATTTGTAGTTTTTGGCTTAAGTTAAATTCAATTTGAACAGAACCGACTGTTTGCTCACCCCTATAAGTGTTTTTCTATATATTAAACCATGGACCTTATCAACATCGTTTGATAAAATTTATATGTTTTTATTTTTTTAGTTTTTTTAAACAAAATAATAATTTTACCTTTAATAATAATAATTTCGTCAGTAAAAATAATTAAAATTACATTATTACACTTTTGTCAAAATTTAAATTTCTTTGCTCGTAAAATTGGAGTATTAATTATGTAAAAAATTAATTTTAAATGAATTATATATTGCGTTCAAGTTCATAGCAAATTAAGCTTTATTTTTAAAAATTAATTCTATTGATAGTTTTTTTTTTTTAAAAAAAAAGTAAAAAGCGGGAATTGTTTGTTGTTTCTTTTTCAAAGGTGATACTGAATTGTCATTAATTCAAATACCAAATCGATCCGTTTAGTTAATTGGTTCATTGATTGCACGTGAAGGCTTTAAAGCTTTTTCAATTGTCAAATGAAATATTAGAAATTAAATAATTTTTATGAATTTTCTTTTCTCTTTAGCTATTTGGACAACAAAGATTATTCTGTTGATGCTCAAAATAGAGATTTTGAAGGGAGAGAAAAAAAAAAACAAGACACTTATCGAATAAGGCAGTTGAATCGGTGAAAATAAACTGTATTTTTAAATAAAATTTATCTATAAATTCAAGAATTTGAAATATAAAATTATCACCGCTACGGAAATCCTATTTTAATATCACATCAACTTGAGATAAAAAAAAATTAAATTAAAAAATCTTGCAGGGTTAGCTTGTAAATGCAATTGAAAAAGTGAAACTGAAAATTAATTCCACCATCCAGAAGGTAAGACAATGAAGGCAGATGGGTTGCAATTATTTGTTTAATTAAGAATGTTGACAGAAAGGAGTTTGCTAGCAGCTACAGTATTTTATGGTTTGGCTTTTCCATTCTTGAATTTCTGTTATTGTCAAAGATAAGGATTTAAGACTCTGGTTATGTCAATCCTTTCTAGCTATTTTTTTTATATATATTTTTTATTTAATTAACTTTGAAATAAAGGAAGGAAGAAGAGGTAAAATTAATTTAATTTGCATGCATCAATCATATGCCAATCAATAGATGCCTTTGAAGGAATATTACAACTATCGGGTCCAATTCTTGATTTATGAAAAAAGAGAAAATTATTGATTATTATGCAGATTAAAATTTATTATAGTAAAAAAAATATATTAGTACCAATCCCTAATTGTATAGCTCGTAATATTATTTCGGCTCGTCGGACATTCCAATAAATAATATAAAAATATTATAATAACTTGAAGAAATATCGATTGATTTGCCTCTGGACTTCTACGATGTACAATTAAGTTTTTATATTGATTTTAATAAAAATTTTGCAACTAAAAGCCAGTTGTAGCCAAATTTTAATTGGTCAACACACTTGTTTCGGTTAAAAAAATTTATCCAATTGGTCTTCTAGTTGAAAATATCTATTAAAACAGATCTCAGAAATTAATTTTTGAGTGAATTATATATTACAATTTAGTTTAAGCGGCAAATTCTAGAATAAATAGAATAAAAGTTACAAATGCAATTAAAATATTTTATGATAATACCCAAACTTTTCAATTTTCATTTTTGGTTTTTTTTATAATCAAGAGGTGTAATCCCCTTGAGCCGTAGAGTGTAAAAGTTTTTTGTCCTTCCAACAAAGTGTGTTTTCTGAGAATCGAATTTGTATTTTCACCCTTATAAAAGTTAAGGTAATTTATCACTTCGATCAACATCTTATTAGTTACCACTCCGATCAACACGTTGCGAGTTATCAAACTTTTCATTTTTAATTAGTAGAAATATATTAAATTTGCAATTATACACCTCCTTAGTAGCTGTCTGTTTCATAATTTAAGTAACAAATTGCAATAAATTAAAATTGTGCATTGTTCATTGATTTACATATACTATATATAGAGTGTATATATACAGTATATAAGTTGCTTTCTTCTCCTACAGTAACCTTGGATTGTATTATAGTCTACTGATAGGTGAAGCTTCCAAGCTTGTTAAATATGTCTGGCTCTACAGACAAACAAAACAAAAAAGCTGCTAAATAAAAAGAGGGTGGGGACTTCTTTTGACCAAAGGAAATTTCTGCAACTAATGACAGCCAAACACCCCATGTGGACTGTGAAGAAAGAGAGAGAGAGAGAGAGATAATAATAATAATGGTTTCACATATATATATATATTCATAATCATATGCCTTAAATTCCTGCTTCATCTTCTTCTTCTTCTTCTTGCATGTGCATTGAAAAAATGAAATGTGAAGAATCTACTTTCTATAAAGAGAGAGAGAAAAAAAATGATAAATGGAAATCAATAATGATATGTATATATGTGGTCATTTTTGGGTTTGGGGTAATCACTTATGCTGGACTTTAAAAATGCATGCATGTGCAGTCCCCCACCTTTAGATTGCTTTAAATTCAATCTTTAGGCTTTTCAAGTTTGTTGCCTCCACTGAGAGTTGAAATTCAGTTGTCTTTTTTCTTTTTTTTTTTTTATATAATAAGATGTTTTTTCGATTTTTAGCCTTTCCAACAACAGTTTAAGAGGAATTAAAAACTTCTGATTATGCTAAAAAAGAAAAAAAAAAAACTATAAATGAGTCAAATGTTAATAAGATATTTCAAATTTGAGTCCAAAAAATTTATTTTAATCGATTTGATAAATTTAACCAGTCGAATTTAAGTTTATTTATCAAAATAAATGTATCAATCTTGAGTTTTGTAACGAGTTCGTGGGTTAACTTAACATATAATCATAAATTTCAGTGTGTATATTAGTTTGAGCTCAAGCCATTTATAAACTAAACAAGTCGGATTTAAACTGAATTTTTAAGACTCCGATTAGCTTGAATTCTAAATATACAATGACTTATACTTTAAGATAAAATAATTACAAAAAATGATTTATATTTTCAGACGGAGGAAGTATTAAATTATTAAAGGAAATCCATTACAATACAGTAATAGTAATACTCAATTACAATGTTTTGGAAATAATTGTTTTGAGTTAATAATTATTATATATTCAAATCTACAAAAAGTTATATATAGGATTATATATGGAACAATTATTTCTTAAACATTCATTATTTCATTTTTAAAATCTAGATAAAAGTTAAGAAGATTTATTTAAAATAAATATAGATATTATTTCTTGTTAAAAACAAATACAACCCTTGTACGATAACTGAATAAGAATGTAAAATTAATGTTTCTTTCTAAATATATATTTAAATAAAACACAAAAGAGGGAGGACAGGTGCACTACTTGAATTTTTGAGGGTTATAACTAAAAAAAAAAAAAAATTCCTAAAAAAAAAAAAAAAAGATAAATATCTCAAAACCTTTGGAAAATTAATTAGTTTCTTGTTTTTTTTTATTGAATATTATCAAAAACAAGTTTCCCTCTTCATTATTGTTTAATTAATCGGATGATTGAATCAACGGAAATAGATTGCATGTCTAAGTATACTTTACCTATATGATTAAGAATATAAAATATAACAACGTGATGATTAAAAAGACTTTATTTAAATATCACTCTTATCCGAATATAAAAATATATTTAAATATATTTAAAAAAAATAAAAAGCCTTTTTCATTTTCTTATGGAAAGAAATAATATTGCTTTCTAATAAGCCTGATAATAATTAAAAAAAAAAAAAAAAAAAAAAAAAAACATCGCCTTCATGTGAAACCATTGAAAAATGTTCTTTCTAAGTGATTTTGAAAGAAACAGGAACACGTCGAACCAAACCCGGGACAAATGATTGTGCGTAGCAAAAAAAAAAAAAAAAAAAACATCGCCTCATGTGAAACCATTGAAAATGTTCTTTCTATATGATTTTGAAAGAAACAGGAAAACACGTCGAACCAAACCCGGACAAATGATTGTGGTAGCAACTACAAACCAAACCATATATTTCAATAGTTTGATCTTTGTCATTATAATCAATATATATATATATGCATGATAATGCTCTATAATTGAAAACCCAACTAACTTGAAATTTGTCGTGCATCTATAATGATTATTATGGTATTTTACTCATCTTATTACGTTGGTTCTTGCAGATGTTGATGTGGTTTAATTATTCATAACTAATAGTTTATTATTGATGTTGGATAACTGTTATATGTTAATAACGAGTTGTTGTTAAAATATAAAATAAACAATAAAGATTATGGTGCATGTTTTTATTTTTATATT